TGAGCAAAATGCAGTCTATCCACACCATGGAATATTATGCAGCCTTAAAAAGGAAGGAAATTCTGCAATGTGCTACAACATGGATGAACCTTGAGGTCACTATGCTAAGTGAAGTAAGCCAGTCACAGAAGGACAAATACTGTCTGATTCCATTTATTTGAAGTATATAGAGTAGTTAAATTCATAGACACAAAAGGTAGAATGTTGGTTGCCAAGGGCTTAGGGTAAGAGGAACAGGGAGTCATTGTTTAATGAGTACAGAGTTTCAATTTTGCAAGATGAAAGCTGTCCGGAGATGAGTGCTGGTGATGGTTGCACCACAGTGTGAGCATTCTTAATGCCACTGAACTGTATGCTCAAATGGCTGAGCTGGTAAATTTTATGTTATGTGTATTTTACCAGAATTTTAAAAATAAAAATTTGAAATTAAAGAAAAAAGGACACAAGAGCCAACTTAAGAAACTTGCAATGTCCAAATCTGGGACAGTATGAGCATCAAAGTAAATAATAATACATGAGCCAATGTTAATACAAATAAATAAATGAATAAACAAATGGAGAGAAGAGAAATCTCTTACTTAGAGTAGAATGCAGATTAGAAGGAAAACAGAATTAGAAAATCACGTTTTTACAACCATTGTAGAAATATTAGATTCAGTGAAGAATCGTTGAGTGCTAAAACTACTGGGTAAACTTTTGAGGAGGAACAGGATATTTACATAATTTCAAACTCTGCCTATAAAATATTAATTAATTATAAACTAATAAATATGACATACTTGTTAATTTAACAGTGGTGAAGCCTCGAAGGCACCGTCTTAACCAAGGGATAAACATTACTGGGGCGAATTGACCACGTATGCCCTGACGGATGCAATGAGTGACAAGGACACAACATCCCTTCTGTACATTCCTGCCAAGGATGCATACCATCAGATAAACGCAAATTGCAGGGCATTCTGCAAAATAATCAGCCTATAATCTCCACAAGTGTCAAGGTCATCAGAGTGAAGATTAAGCCATTGTCCTAGACTGAAGGAAAGTAAAGAGATTTGACAGCTAAATCAACATGTGGTCATGGATCGGATTTCAGTATGAAGGACGTTATTGGGATAATTGGTGAAATCGGAATGGAGTCTGTGGATTAGAAGGTGGCAATACAGCGCCCTGACTTCCCTGGCTGCAATGTGGGTTTGCGGGTGAGTGTGGCGCTTCAAGTTGCTTTCAAATGGTTCCGAAAACATAACCCCCCCCCTCTCTCTCTCTCCTCTCGCCTCTCTCCTCTCTCCTCTCTCTCTCTCCTTCTATCAATACCTCTATCCTGTGAGCCACACCTGGGGACAGACCCAGCAGAAATAAGTGCTTATGTTCATCAAGAATCATGTAGAAGAATATTTATAGTAGCTTTGGCCTAGCCCTGAAATAGAAACTACCTGCGTTTGTCTGCCCAGGCTACCATGACAGAATGCCATGGACTGAGTGGCTGAGCAACAGACATTTGTTTTCTCACAATTCTGGGGGCCAGAAGTCCCAAATCAGGTGCTGACCAGGCTGGTGTCTGGTGAGGCCTGTCTTCCTGCCTTGCAGACGGCCGCCTGATCACCATGTCCTCGCAGGCATGTGCTCTGCGCGCATGCCCTCTTCCTGTACCTTCCTCTTCTTACTCGACACCAGTCCTGTTGGATTAGGGGTCCACCCTTATGACCTCATTTAACCTTCGTTATCTTCTCAAAGGCAATATTTCCAAATATAGTTACACTGGGGGTTAGGACTTCATCCCACAATGTAGCCCATAACACTACTCAAATGCCCACCAGCAGTAGAATGCATAAATAGTGGTACACACAATGAAATACTACACCACAACGAGAATGACCAAACTATGAGTGCATGTAACAACATGGATGAATTTCACAGACATAATCTGGAGCAAAAGAATCCAGACACTGGCCGGGCACAGTGGCTCATGCCTGTAATCCTAGCACTCTGGGAGGTTGAGGAGGGCGGATCACTCAAAGTCAGGAGTTTGAGACCACCCTGAGCAAGAACAAGATCCCATCTCTACTAAAAATAGAAAAATTAGCCAGGCGTGGTGGTGCACACACGTGTAGTCCCAGCTACTCTGGAGGCTGAGGCAGGAGGATGCTTAAGCCCAGGAATTTGAGGTTGCTGGGAGCTATGATGACGCCACGGCACTCTAGCCGGGGCAACAGAGTAAGACTCTGTCTTGGAAAAAAAAAAAAAAAGAATCCAGGCACAAAAGAACATATACTATATGATTTCATTTATATGAAGGTCGGAAGAGGCAAAACTGACCTATGGTGAAGTTGATTTAAAGATGGGGATAGGTGTTCCTCAGAGGAACGTAAGGAGGTCTCCTGGGGACTGAGATGTTCCGTGTCTCAGTCTGCGTGGTGGCAACACAGGTCTTTCCATAGGTAAAAATCAGCCAGGCTGTACATGGAATATGCATACAGTTTACTGTGTAAAAGTTACATCTCCTGTTTTAAAAAATGAAGAAGCATGAAGGATGGCGTTGAATGAGCTCAGTGGGTACCGGGGGAGGGAGACTGGGGGAGGGTGTGGGAAGACGCAGGAGGAGACGGGCCCTGAGGCCAGACCCTTGTAAGAAGTCTGGGTTTTTCCCTAGGAAGCCACTGAAGCCATAGAGGGGTCTAAACAGGAAGTGGCACAGTCACATTGCGGGCAGCTGCTTGGAGGGGCAGGAGTGGAGGCAGGCAGACCAGTCAGGAGGCTGCTGTGTCCCAGCTGGGCCGGTGGCTGGGCCAAGCACGGCGGCCGTGGGATGCAGAGCGGTGGGCTGGTTTGCAGAATCACCAGGTTGCTGAGAATTGCAGGCAGGACAAGAGGGGCAGGAGTCCCTGAGATGCCCAGGTTTTGCCTTGGGTGACTAGGCAGATTGTGGTGCATTTCCTGGGGATCCTGGAGGGAGGAAGCTCGGGGGATGTGACTTTGATCTCGGGTGTACTAGCCTCAAGGTGCCCATGGAATATCCAGGAGGCAATAGGAAATAAAAGTTTGGAGGACACAAAGAGAACTGACTCAAATGCCTGTGCTGGGGCAAGGCAGGGACACAGATGAGGGCGTGGCCGAGGACGACAGAGAGAGGCAGAGACTGCGGCAGTGGGGAGTGCCTGTCTCTTGTGAAGGAGGCAGTGGCAAGCCAAAGCCGACTTAGAATAAAGGCCCAGTGGTACAGGACTCCCAAGTGTTCAAGACAAGATGGAAATCTGGATTTTGATGTGAAATATGCTGATTTAAAAATATTTTTAATTGAAGTATGCATATAGAAATTCAAAGCATACAGTTTAGAAAGTGATCACAAAGTGAAGTCACTCATGAGTTCTGGAAATCTGGAAATATGCTGATTTTCAAAACATTGAACCCTGCATGGCAAACAGAACACATGCAGGGCCCGGGGCCACCCCTGGAAGCCTGTGGTAGAGGTAGACAAGGAACCTGGCCCGCCAGCGGTCAGGGCTGCAGGTGAGGCAGCAAGAGCCGCGGGAGTGCGGAGACGCGGAGCTCTGGGGACGCCAGGCCTAGCTCAAAGGCGAGGAAGGAGAGGGCCCACGGACGTCACGCGGGGCCCTGCCCTTGGCCGCCTGTGGGGGCTGCTGTGGGTTGGAGATGTGTGGTTGGGCCATCTGGGGAGGCTTCAGGGAGGAGGTGGCCTCACACAATAAGGTCGCTTAGGACCCCCTAGGCACTGGTGGCAAAGTATAAATACTGCTCGAGTGGAACAGGTTAGAGGAATTGATGGTGTTTGATTTTATTTTCTCTCGTGATGAAAAGCATGAGAGCTGGTCCGCCCGGACGAGCGGAAGCCCCGGCAAGGCCCGCGGGTGGCCCGCGAACTTCTGCCAGCTCCTTGCTGCTCTCACCGGGCAGATGCTTTCCCCTTTAGGACGTTATGGGGCCACACGCGCTGCCGCCCGGCCCTCCACCGCGTCCCAGTGTGCCGGCTGGCCAGCGTTGCCCCCCCTCCACCGCGTCCCAGTGTGCCGGCTGGCCAGCGCTGCCCCCCCCCACCGCGTCCCGGTGTGCCGGCTGGCCAGCGCTGCCCCCCCCACCGCGTCCCAGTGTGCCGGCTGGCCAGCGTGGCCCCCCCCCTCCACCGCGTCCCAGTGTGCCGGCTGGCCAGCGCTGCCCCCCCCTCCACCGCGTCCCAGTGTGCCGGCTGGCCAGCGCTGCCCCCCCTCCACCGCGTCCCAGTGTGCCGGCTGGCCAGCGCTGCCCCCCCTCCACCGCGTCCCAGTGTGCCGGCTGGCCAGCGCTGCCTCCCCCTCCACCGTGTCCCAGTGTGCCGGCTGGCCAGCGGTGCCGCCCCCTCCACCGCGTCCCAGTGTGCCGGCTGGCCAGCGGTGCCGCCCCCTCCACCACATCCCAGTGTGCCGGCTGGCCAGCGCTGCCTCCCCGCCCTCCACCGTGTCCCAGTGTGCCGGCTGGCCAGCGGTGCCGCCCGGCCCTCCACCGCGTCCCAGTGTGCCGGCTGGCCAGCGCTGCCCCCCCCTCCACCGCGTCCCAGTGTGCCGGCTGGCCAGCGCTGCCTCCCCTCCACCGCGTCCCAGTGTGCCGGCTGGCCAGCGCTGCCCCCCCCCCTCCACCACATCCCAGTGTGCCGGCTGGCCAGCGCTGCCTCCCCCTCCACCGTGTCCCAGTGTGCCGGCTGGCCAGCGGTGCCGCCCCCTCCACCGCGTCCCAGTGTGCCGGCTGGCCAGCGGTGCCGCCCCCTCCACCACATCCCAGTGTGCCGGCTGGCCAGCGCTGCCTCCCCGCCCTCCACCGTGTCCCAGTGTGCCGGCTGGCCAGCGGTGCCGCCCGGCCCTCCACCGCGTCCCAGTGTGCCGGCTGGCCAGCGCTGCCGCGGGGCCGCTCCACACCGCAAAGGCGCAGACCGAGCCGTGTCGCGGCCGGGTGGACGGCGAAACTGGAGGCTGGCAGGGCGGAGGCTGCTGTGACCGGCCGCCACAGCTCACATCTGTCTCCTTCGTCTCCCTCAGAATAGTGGCCTCACCGCCCCACACGGGCCAGTCCCTAGTCCACACCCTTGCTCAAGCCGGTCTGCACCTGGAATTCACTGCCTGCCGCCAGTGCTTACCTTGGTTCTGGAAGACTATGTGCTCCTTGAGGGCCCAGCCTGGGCCACTTCCCTGTTGAATGCCACTGGAGCTACACGCCCTCTCACCACCCTGACCCCGCCGGTTGCCCTAACCCGGTAGGGTGTCTTTCTCTGCAGCCACCAAGCACCTCATAGGGCCGTCTGTGTGTCCCAGCATCGGAGCAGGGCCTGTGGCAGACACCTGGTGGTCATGCGCTGAGTGAGTGGGGAAGGAATCAACCCTCGCGTGACATGGCATAGTGTCTGGGACCTGGAGATAGTGACAAGAATGTTATTTTACAAATGGCAGTTTGAGGGAGTCTATGCCAGTATTTTTTTAAAAGCACAAATGCTGCCGAATGAAAGCCACACATGTGCTCCCTTAGGAAAGGGAAAACAGAAGATTCAAGAAAATTGTCATCTTATTTGAGCACAATTTCTTTCTTTCCGTTGATGTCTCCTGGTGTGCTTTGAAAAGACAGCAATCCTGCACCTTTGGCCAGGAGTGCCCAGCTCTGTGGGGGAGGACATTTGGAGGCCTGAGCCTTAGAGCCACAGGTCAGGGGACAAGTGGGCGCTGGGCCCAGGCGACCATTCCCCTCCCAGCCGGGCTTCTGGAGACCCTGCGTGCACTGCCTGGGGTGGCAGAAAGCTCCAGCTTTGTAGACAGCTCACTTCCTATGTGGATAATTTAGCCTGCCACCACGTCAACTTCTTCATCTGTAAAATGGGGCTATACTTTCCTAATAGGGTTGTTGACAAGTGGTAAAAGAAATATTGATGCAGAACTCTTAATATAATGTCTGGTACTAGTAAATGCTAAAAAAATTCCCTTCCCACCCACCCCTATGCCCACCCTCACCAACCAGCCTGGCCCTTGCCTCTGGAATCAGATCTCTCTAGGGATCTTGGGCTGAGCAGCTGAGCCCATCAACTGGACTGGCACCCAGAGCTTCCGCTTTGGAAGGGTCTATTGGAACAGGAAAAGTCTTTGTGTCACTAAGAAAATAAGTTCAAATGGTGAGAGCCAGTTGGGAAAACTCTGTGGGCTGGGGACCTTTTATAGGTGAGTGTCTGTAATCAGAGGAGACTGTGTCACCCTTGCACCAACTCTTTGCATAAGCACCAGTGGCCCTTATCTGGGGGATAAAATCCCAGCCCTTCAGCCAGGCTGTCAGGGCCTTGGCGATCCAGCCCCACCTGCCTGGATTCAGTGAGCATGCACACGCAGGCCGTCCCCTGGGCTGGACACTCACTCCCAGCTTACCCACATCGCCCAGCAGCCCTTCTCGAAGAGGACATCTGTCCTCACCCAGAGCATAGTCCCCAGGTGTTTGTGCCGGTGTCTTAGCATCCCCTTGGTTCTGGGCATGTGGAGCCAGGGTCCATGCCTGAGCCACCCTGAGGACATTCACGTGGGGCCTCATTCCTAGGTCTGCATGACTCAACGTCTCCTGGGAGTGAACCAGGGGCTGAGCTTCTACACCCAAGTCATGCCCAGTTCAGGACGGTCCAGGCACACCGAAGGGTGGGAAGGTGGGAGCACCCTCCTCTTGCAGCTCTCTGAGGGGATCGGAGAGTCCCTGCTGTGCTTTCCTCATTGGCATGCAGGCATGTGGCTGTGGCTTGCATGTCCATTTGGCCATCTTAAGTACACAAAGTCTGTCTATTTCCCTCTGCTCACCTGCTCAGATGGCCTCCTCTAGCACAGTGTACAAGAGCACCAAAGTGCCCAGGGATGCTGTAGGCAATGCCCACACCTCACATCCTTCTAGAAACCAGCCCAGGTCACACGGCAATGGAGCAAGCCCAGGGCGAACGGCTGCCCTCCTGGGCCCATTCGTCACCCTTTCTGGCCTGGGCCTGCCTCAGTGATGTGGAAGGGAGATGAAGGTGATCTGGAAGAGGAAGGCTTGGGGTGCTGTCAAAGGAGGAAAAGACCCAGGGCAGAAGCTGGGAGAAGACTAGCACATGAGTGATGAATCCTGTCTTCCGCTCAGAACTGTGCCCATGAAGCAGGGGGACAGGCCTGCAAGGAAGAGTCCTGGAGCCCTACCTCCTCCAAACAACAGTGTGCGCCTGTGCAAAAGCAGAACAAGGTCAGTATCCTCACCGTGCAAATGAGAGGACGCAGAGAGGGCCTGCTACGGTCTGAATGTCTGTGTCCCTCCAAAATTTGTATGTTGGAACCTAATCCCCAGTGTGATAGTATTACAAGGTGTGGCTTCCGAGGAGTGAATAAGTCGTGAGAGCTGGGCTCTGCCCTCAGGAACGGGCTGGTGCCCTTGTGAGAGAGGCTCGCGTGAGCTCCCTTGCCTCTTCTGCTGCTCGAGGACACAGCGGCAAGATGCCTTCTGTGGCGCAGAGAGGGGCCCTCGCCAGATGTCAGATCTGCTGGCGCCTGACCTTGCACCTCCCAGCCTCCAGAACTGCAAGCAGCAAACTTCCATTGTTTGTGAGCTCCCCAGTCTAAGGTATTTTGTCCTAGTAGCAGGAACGGACTAAGCCAGGCCAGTGCCACACAGCTCATCCGATCTGGGTGGGCAGAGTGAGGTCTTCTGATACCAAGGCCAGAGCCAAGGGGCTAGGCTGGTGTGATGCCGGGAAAAGTGCTGTTTGCTCATCAAGGAAATACAGATTAAAAACCCAACAGAGCACGATCCCCGGCATGGCTGAAATGAGTAAGATGGGTGAAAAGTCCAGTGTGAGTAGGATGTGCAGCAGCTGGAACTGCTTCATGTGGCCAAGAATCAGTATATTAACACTTCAGAAAAGTGTCTAACAACATTTACCAAAGCTAAAGATACTCACACCTAGTAACCCGGCAACTCCATTCCTAGATACCAAACACATTCTAGGTACTAAAATAATCATAGTACCACTACCCGTAAAGCTACAAACTGGAAAAACCCAAATTCCCAGCAACAATATAGTAAATAAAAATATTGTGATATGTTTATATGATATGGTGAACAAACTAAATACAACCATGTGGACAAATGTCACAAACTTAATGCTGAGCAAAAGAAGCCAGACACCAAAGAGTAAATGTTCTGTGAACTCACCTGTACAATGTTCAGACCGGACAATAGTAATCAGTAGTATTAGAAGGAGAGACAGCTGTTTCCTTAGGTGGGTTAGTGACAACAAGGGACAAGAAAGGGACTTCTGTGGTACTGGTTACTTGAGGGCATTCATTCTGTGAAAAATCATCAAGTCATACACCTATGATTTGTACATATATGATTTCTGCATGTATGCTATTTCTTCGATAAAAATGTAAACTTAAAAACCATGATAATCTCTATGAACTGATACAGAGGGATTCCAGGATGGGTTATGCTTAAAAAATCACAGCACGAAACTGTAGAATGCTACTTTTTGTGTGAGAAAGAAGAGGAAATAAGAAATTATATGTATATAAAATTATGTGTAATATGCATTTGTATATAGTTTTTCTGCAGAAAGAAACACAGGTAGGATAAACCAAAGAGGCTGGGTGGGAATAGGCCGGAAAGGAAGTGAGAAGAGAGAGATTTCTCTGCGTATAAGTTTTTCGTGTAAGTTTTTTGACTTTGGGAACCACATCAATGGTTTTCATACTCAAATAACAACTACAACAGCAACAAAAGATGGGGGAAATCCCTAAAATGTAATACAAACAGAAAAAAAAATTTCAAATGAATAACATAACCACATCGAAAGGGGGAAAGCCTGACCCAAGGGAGTTCTGGGCATATCAGTAGTATTCTGACTACACACACTTGGACAGAGGGCAAAAACGCCTGCAAAATGAACTCTAATTAGTAGGACTGCTTTTTGCAGTGGTGTGGGTTAGCAGTTCTAAAACTTCCTGTGTGTTTGAGGCTTGGGCAAGTGAGTAAATAAAAATCATGGGATCCAGGTCTCACTGTTGCAGGAGTTGCAAACACTGAAAGGAGAAAGACAGAAGCGTGCCCGTAGGTACTGGATTGGAATTGCAGGTGGAGCGAGAGCTCGTGGTTTATGCACACATGTTAGCGTGGATTCGGTCAGGGTGGTCTACTTCCCAGAGCATTCCCTGCTACGATAAACGAGGGCTCCTTGGAGAAACAGCTGATTTCCAGACTGCGATGATGAGTCTGAGAGTGGGGAAAAGGTCAAAGGAATGATGAAGTGTCAAAAGGCACAGGGGTCAGCTTGAAGGGGCTCCCTCTAGCCAAACTGGGGACAAACTGAGCACCAAAATGAATAACAATAGAGATGAATTACAACCCACTGAATAAAGTAAGAATCCACGAGTCCATACAGATAGAATACAGGGAGTATAAATATTAATAAATACATGGGGAAGAGAAAAAATTCTTCCTTAGAGTAGAATTCAAATTAACAAAGGGGAAATTCTAGAGTTAGAAAATTACATTTGGTCACCATCGTAGTAATAGTTGATTCAGCTGAGAATCATCGATGGATGATGCTAGCATTAGTGTGTGAAAAATTTGATAAAGAGGCTATTTACACTCTTAAGGGAATTCCCCATAAAATACTTATTAAATGCAAATGGAAAACCAGTAACTTCACAGTGGCAGACTCACCATAACCAGTGATCTAAGTTAATGTCACTAGTGATGGGACAAATGCACAGCCCGCCCCTCCTGGGATGACACAAGGGAAGACACAGCATCACTTCTACAACAATCCTGCCGAAAACCAATGACCCGAATTTGATCATGAGGAAATATCAAACAAACCCAAACTGGAGAACATTCAATAAAATAACTGGCCTGAACTCTTCAAAAATACCAAGTTCATGAAAGACAAAGAAAGGTTGAGGACTTATTCCAAGCTAAATATGACTAAAAAGACACAACTAAATGCAACTTGGGAGCCTGGATCAAATCCTGGACCAGAAAAAAAAATTTAACAAAGAAATATTATTGGGACAACTGGCAAAATCTGAACAACAAGCTATATAGATTAAAAAATAATATTAATGTTAATGTCCCAATTTTGATAACAAGGACAAGAAAATATCCTTATTCTTGGGAAATACACACCGAACTATTTTGGGATAAAGGGATATGATATCTGTAACTTAGTCTCAAATGGCTCAGAAAAAAATTATATATAACACAGATAATTTATATATATTTATATACATACAGACAGGGAGACAGGGAGAGAAGATGATGAAGCTGCAGTAAATGTTAACTGTTGGGGAATTTGGGTGAAGAGTGAATTCTTTGTGCTTGTCTTGCAGTTTTTTGTAAGTCTGCAATTATTTCAAAGGAAGATTTAACTAACTGACTAAACAAATGCCATGCTTATATTCGTCATGTATATATTTATTTATTGAGGTAAAATTTACGCGCACCCCTGAGTGCACAGTTTGATGGATTTCGATAATCCTCCATGCGCCCACCCCCCGAATCCAGATGCAGAGTGCTGCTTTCCTGTCACTCCAGAAAGTTCTCTCCTGCCTCCTTTCTGTCGTCCCCTCCGGAAGCAATCGTCCTCCACCCGGAAGCAACCGTCCTCCACCCGGAAGCAACCGTCCTCCACCCGGAAGCAACCGTCCTCCACCCGGAAGCAACCACCAATCCGGTTTCCAGCGCCAAGGTGCGTTTGGCGGTTCTAGCCTTTCGCAGGTGCAACCGCCCCCAGCGTGTTCTTCCCGCCCGGCTTCCCTCGCGGGCGGCGCGCCGAGGTCCGTGGGGCGCGCGGCCGCAGGCTGGCCCGACGCAGGCTGAGCGGCGCGCTGAGTGTGCACGCCGGCCAGGCGCCTGGACGGACGTCGCGGCCGGCTGTCGCGGCGAATCCGCCTGGAGGCCGGGAGTGCCCTGGCTCTCCCGCCGCGCCTCCGCCGGGCAGCGGCTCCGCCGCGACCTCGCGACCCCGCGACCTCGGACCCCGCGACCTCGCGACCTCGCGCACGCGGCGCAGCGTGGGCTTGCGCGCGCTAGGAAAGCTTCCGGGCCCAGACGCTCCTTTCTGTGCTGCCAGAAGCTCGACCATTAACTGTCTCTTCTTTTTAGGCTGCACGGCTCCGGCTGGCCTGGAATTTCACTGGAAGGGAGTTGACTAAACATCTTTCTTCTGGCCAGGAGGGGCGCGCCCTCGATAGGGGTGTAGAAAGTGAGGGGAATGCAGAGAAACTTCTCCCATTCTACCATTTCCTGGGTGGTGTGTACGCTCTCCAGCCTTCTCTGACTGTGTCCTGCCTGACAGTTCACACTTGGGACCAGACACCCCATCCCTGGACTAAATCATCAAGGCTGCCATAGGAGTCTCTTTGCACGAGGGTCCTTTGCTACATGGCAGGTGGCTTTTTAACAGCCCCTCAGAAGAACAACCTGGCATGGGGGGTGGGTCATCTGGTCTGTCTGGGACGTGATTGGCCCTTGACCAGTCTCAGGGGCATGTGTCCAAGCCCTGTGTAGAGAGGGGCCAGGGCAGAAGGAGCCTTGGAGCCCAGCCAGTGGGGCTTTGAGTCCTGGGTGGGCTGCGGGTCCCAGGAGAGAGAGGCCTGCATCTGGCCGGCACAGCACAGCTTTAGCACAGTGAGGGTGACAGGGAACCCGTGTAACTTTGGAGGAAGTGGGAAAGAGGACATCATAAAGGGGCCAGAGAGGGAGAGGACAAAAGTCCTGCAAGTCTGCTGCTCCCTGTCCCCCTTCACTTCCCTCCACCTGCCAAGAGACAGACCCACACCAGGGACCTGGTCGCCCTGGAGAAAAGCTGGGGCAGGGCAGTGGGGGGGGTCGGGAGAGACTGGCCCACACTGCACTGGCCTCCCCACCCCAGCCTGGCTGGCCCCTGCCGGGCCCGCCTGAGCCGCCTCCAGGCCCTGGGCTCAGACCCTGCAGCTCGGAGCCTCGCTAGGCCTCTGCCAGGCCGGGAAAAGTATTGGGGGGGGGGCAGGCTAAAATGCCACGTGGGCCCCCTCCATAGAAGACCACTTCCTTTCTGCCCTACTTCAACTGACCACCTTGTGCTGTGTTCTAGAATCAAACTCTCAGCCCCTGGGAAGGACCTCAGAAAGCAGCTGGTGTGAGTGTCCATTGTCTGGACAGGACAGTGAGGCCCAGGGAGGGATGGGATTTGCCTTATCCAGGGAATTAGCCTGTGGCTAGGACCACAGCCACTCCTGCTGCCCAGCCTGCTCCCCTGCCCCTGGCACGCCTCAGCACAGGGCAGAGCACAGCTTTTTCTCTGGTCTGAGCAGGGCAGCCAGGCAGCGGCTCCTCCCTCAGGGCTTCGGGCCAGTCGGGACAGGCATGGCAGGAATCCACTCTGGTCAGAGCCACCTTCCTGAGAGCTGCCCCAGGCTGGGCCCGGGGCCTCGAGGTCCCAGGGACATTGCTTTCGGTTTACTTTCTGCCTGGCTTCTGCACGCATCGTGGCTTCCACGTGGAAGGGCTGCAGTGGGAACGCAGGGCCTGTTCTGGGGCTGGGCTGCGGCTGTGGGAAAGTCTGGGTTGTGCCGCCGCGGACGTGGGATGTCGGGAGCTCTTGCAGACCGTCCCCGAGGGCCGGGTGTGGGTTGTAGGCTCAGCTCTGGCTTCTCCAGCCTCTGCCTGGACAGCGTAGAGGGAGTGCGTGGCCAGACCCTCTAGGACGCGAGCCAGAGGGGTCTCCTAGTCCAGACTCAGGGCCTCTCATCTCACAGACGGGGAGACCGAAGGCAGAGGGGCAGGACTAGCCCAGGCCACTCTTAGCCCACGGCAGCACCGGGACTGGAATGGAGCCATCTGGCTCCCATCTCAGTGCGCTGCCAGTGGGCTTAAAATCCCCTCATCGCTTTGGGTTCTTTGTGGATGTCCAAAGCCCTGAGTTTCCCATGATTGCTTTCTGGGCAGGGACAGGGTATGTGGAATGGAAGGGGCCTGGCCACAGCCCAGGCTGTGAGCAGAGGGAAGTTGGGAAGGGGCCACCCCCTGCTCTTGTTCTCCCTGGGGTTCCCTTGGTGGCCAGGCTGCTGGAGGAGCCCAGCCAGTCCCTGAGAGCCTGACCCACTGCTGAGAGGACTGCAAGACTCCTCCCCGCTCTGGCTCTGGGGTGCCCAGGTCTGGGAGCCCGAACTTGGGTCTGCATTCCAGCCGCCCTGCCTACAGGCTGAGCAACTTCAGACAAGTCATCCCAGCTTCCTGTGCCTCAGTTTCCCAATCTGTAAAACAAACATATCCCCCCTTCCAGAAGGCAGTGGGGACAGAAGTGCTGTGCGAGCTGTAAGGTCCTCAGCGCACAGGCGCCAGTTGAGGCTGTTGGCCGTTGACCTGCTCAAAGCAGCAGCTGGCCTGGGGCTGAGGTCTCAGCTTGCCCAGACAGGCCTGTGCCGCTGGGGCTGTGGCAGGGACCCGGGGAGGGTGGCAGAGGCCCTGAGCCCTCCCTGGAGAATCCCTGTCCTCTCTAGGGAGTGCTGAAGTGGTGTTTGGGGGTGTGGGCTGGCCTGGTGGGTGGTCCCACTCTGCAAGGCCCACCCTATTGCTGTGGCCCTGCCCCCACTGTGAGGGGGACCGATAATTGAGTCTCTCTAAGGGAGTCCACCCTGATTTTCATTAATCTGCAAGACAAAGAAAGCGGAGCTGTTTTTGCAGCAGACCCAGAGGGAGATGAGATGAAGGGGAAGGTCCTTTGTCTTTCCTGCCTCTGCACTTGGGAGGGTGTTGTGGCAGATGGGGGAGGAGAAGCCAATTCACAGCCTCCTGGAGGAGGAGGTTTCTGCGGCTGCTGTCCCTGGCTTTGCCCTGCGCCTGGCCACCTGCCTCTTTAATCCATTTAGCACCTCTTCACCACTGTTTGTCCTCAGCTCAGACTCCCAGGGCCTCTGATGGCAACGGTCTGGGTCTCGGCAGCCCCTGGGCTGTTCCCTGCGAGGGGACAGGCTTCGAGGTCAGGCTGTGACCTTGAAAGCCTCTCCAGGCTAGCCACCTGATGGGGCCTCCACTCTGCAGGCCCGCAGCCAACGGGGCCTCCACTCTGCAGGCTCGCCCCCGACGGTGCCTCCACTCTGCAGGCTCCCGGAGCTCTAGCACATTAGAAAGCTGTAAAAGCGTGTGTCTGGTTGGCTGCCCCCAGCCCCGCGGTCAGTGGTGAGGAGGCAGCCGCTGTTCAGGGACAGCCCCTGCTAGGGACGAGGTCTGGCCTGGGGACCCAGGCCCGAGGCACCACCTGGCAGCTTCCCACCCATCCACTCTCCCTGGAGGGACAGCAGTGGGCGGAGCACAAGGTAGGGTGGGAGGTTGTGCACGCGAGTCTCTGTGAAAGGCGCCCCTAAAGTTGTGCTGGGATCGACCTGCACAGCGGCAACTATACTCACCCTGAGCCGCGCATCAGCCTGAGTGCTTCAGGTGGGTGAACTCATTTAGTCTTTGGAGCAACCCAGTTAAGAAGGGCTACCACTGGCCTCATGTCGCAGCTGGGCCCTGGGAGGCGGCACTCAGCTCCCTGAGCATTTGCAGTCAGGTTGGAGATGGGGGAGCCAAGGCAGGTAGTGAGCGCTGTCCCCAGCCTGGCCTTTCTCAGGAGCTGCCTGGGCCTCAGGCAGTTGGGCCACTAAGAAAGACCCAAGTTGGCAGGCCCAGTTTGATGGGCCAGGCAGGAGGAAGCAGGACGAGTGCAGTTTGAGAGCGCATTCTCCAGCTCCGGTTCACGCAAAAGTCATGCAAGGAAGGCCGGGAAAGGATCATTCACCCATTTTGCAGATGAGGAAACTGAGGCTCAGAGAGGTCTCAGAGCACACAGAGCAAGGAGGTGAAAACCAGGATTTGAATCTACTCTGCCTCTAGAGTCTGTGCCTTCTCCAATGGACGGGAGATTCTTAACGGTTTAACTCAGCACTGTGCAGCTGCTGTCTGTGGCCTCCTGTCCCAGAGAACCTGGGAGACATAGACCGGTGGGGAGGTATCACACCATCCAAGCACCCGAACGATAATAGCTAACATTTTGGAGCAGTTACAAGGGGCCAGAACTATGCTAAACAATTTTCATGGTTTATCTCGTTTTGGAGTATAAGTAGCAGTGTAGCCGTTATTTTTGTCTGATGTTAGAATTGAGAAGGGCGTACCTGTTAGAGGCAAAGACCCTCAAAGACCCTCAACTCCCCTATGACTCGTCCTACACACGGACTTCGCCCTGGAAAATTCCAGCTATAGCTCCGAGAAGAATGCAGTCCATGATGTGATGACCACGAGATGCTCCAGGGTATGCTGACTGCAATTGTTCCCGACCACCTGCCAGGTTGCAGATGAGTAACCAGTCAAAAACAGGATACTGATAAGATGCTGATTGGGGCTAATTAACCCAGACCCAAGCCTCATCGTCAACACTCTATTTTTTTGCCTCTACTTCCTTGTTTTTGTATGCTTATAAAACCTACTAAGAATCTAAGTAAAGCAGACCTTGACAATCATTCGCTTGGTCTCGTTCCTTTCTCTCGCTCATCTCTTTCAGGCACGGTCCCCCTCGCCCCCGCGAGTAACAGAAGGTCCCGCGGGTCGGGACACGTACCTGCTTTTGAGAAGGGAGGCTTGCTCTCAGTGAAGGCAGTATCCTTGCTGAGGCTCTATCCCATGCCCCCTGAGCATCATCTGTGTCAAACCTGGGCAGGTGCCACCTAGACCTGGCTGAAGTTGGCTGGGGCAGGGTGAGTGGCATCACCTACCCACACCTGCAATCCAGGGATTGTTCTAGAAGAATTGTATTCCCTGTGCTTGTGCCCTGTGTGGGCCTTGATGTCCTCACCTTTGGATCCTCTCACCTCTAATGTCCTCAGCCCACGTTCTGAGCCATTCTCTGAGTTAGGTGCCTGAGGCCGAGTGAAGGCTGGCGTCCCTACAGGAGCAGACAAGGTCTTGACCGAGGAGAGGGGCTGCCAGGGGTGATGCCAGAAGATGACACAGGCCTGGGCAAATGGCAGAACCCCAGGGCAGGAGTAGAGCCTTCTGAAGGTGAGTGAGTGCTCTGCAGGGCAGCTTGCCGGGGAGGTCAGGGTTCCTGACAGCCCCATCCTCAGCAAGCCCCCCACCCCAAGGCCAACATAATATCAAACCATGAAGGCAGTAACGAAAGCAATGATGAGAGAAAAGGGACCAGAATTCCAGCCACGTCGCCCCTCCTTCTGGGCCTTAGTTTCCCCTTCATGAACAGAGGGAGCTGGCCCTTGGGTCATTTGAAGGATCTTCATCTCCGGCTGGCAGCAGGTGCAGCAGAGGCCCCTCCCCTGCCCCAGGTCTGTGGTTGGTGGCGCCTCCTCCTCCCTTCCCCTCCTGTCCCTCTCTCCCCCCTTCTTTCTGTCCCTTCCCTCCCTTGCCCTCCTTCCCTTGTCTCCCCCACACTCTTTCACAGCCCCCAGCGTGCTGTGTAGTTATTAGTTTAGGTTCATTTAAAATCGGCTTAGCAACCCCACACCCCTGGAACCTGGAAGCTTAAAGCACAAGATGTCTGGCAAATGGAAATTCAATTGCTTTAATATAGAGACTATTTTGCTGCTCTAGTCGAACTGGAGCCTCTTATTAAGAATCTGATGGAATTTCTAAACAGGGAGAGAGGCCCAAGGAGGGGGCATCGCCATCACACACCAACATTGCTCTTGACATATTTATGGCTCCAATAAAATCTCCCATCTGGTATATTTTAAAATAAAATTGAAAATTTATCACTTTCCCTGAGTTGGTTTGTCATTCTCCCCAGGAGGAGATAGCCAGCCCGAGATTACAGGCAGCAGCAAGTGGCGGGCAGAGAGGTTAGGCTGGGCTCTGATTTAAATTTCAATACCTTCCCCATTACAGCTGTCTGGGCTGGGAAAATTACTAGGGGGAAGCAGGCCGTGTGCTCCCCCTAGTTCTCTGACATCCTTTTGGCTCTGGCTGCTGGCATCCGCAAGTTTGCTTGTCTTCCCCGCTGCTTTGCGAGGTCTGGGTGAACCGTGATGTGGGCTCTGTGGGGGAAAGCCCTGTCCGCTGTAGGGACAGTGCCCCAGGCCCAGGAGTCAGCATCGTCCATGTGCACCTCTCTGGGCCCAGTGAGCAGCTTTGGGGGCTGACAGATGGTACAGAGGGCCCCTCTGGTTATCAGAGCTCAGAGATCAAGATCACAGCCTAGACTCAAGGGCAATCAAGGTTCAGCCTATAACCTGCATTAGGGTTCAGTCTAAAATCAGTCTAAGATCAGAACCTGAACTCGGGCCAGGATCAAGGCTCAGCCTGTCACCAAGGTCAGGGCTCAAACTCAGGATGGAATCAGGGTTCATTCAGTGAACAAAAACAGGGCTCCGACCCCATCATCACAGAAGTCAGTTCATATCTCTGAGCCTCAGTCTCTCCTTCAGTCAAATATGGAGATGGGTATTGCCCTGCCCGCTGCACAAGGCCGTTCAGAGGAACAGGTGAAAACAAGAGTAACTTTCTTGTTGTCTTTTCTGTAACAGTTTATTGTTTGCAAAGGGCTTGCACATACTTTGTCTTATTTGATCCTTGTGATAACCACTCTTTTAAAGGATACAGGCTCAGAGAGGTTAGGAAGCTTATCCAGGGCCACACAGCCTTCCTTTCACACAGGCAGGAAGTAGAGGTTGGGGGCAGCTCTTCCTGACTCGAACCAGTTCCAATATAGTAACACAAAGAAGCAGTGACTGAGACTTCACCTGTCTACCCAGCACTTATGCTCCCCCTTTTCTATGGTAACAGAACCGTATTCTATCTGTGGAGGGGCAAAAGACTACATTTCCCAGGTTCCCTTGCAGCCAGGGGTGGCCAATGAGGTGTGAGCAGGAGCACCGAGGGGTGAGACTCCTGGGAGGGCTCTGTAATAGGGAGGCAGGCAGAGAGCACGTGCTCTCCCCCTTCCTCTTCTCGTGCTTGCTGCCTGGAATGCAGACTGGACAGACCCTAGCAGGCCTTTTGGACCATGAGGTGACACTGAAGAGAGACAGCAGTGCTAAGGATGGTGAAGCCCAAAGGGAGAAGGCGCATGGGACATTGATGGTGCGGGGGAGCCACCCCGCAGCCCTGGGCGGCCGACCTCCAGCTATGGTGGTGTAAAAGACACAACTAGTGTGTTTAGGCTGCTATGGTTGGACTTCTGGTACCGGCAATGTCTAACTGATTCGAAGTGTTACATCGGGAAAAAGTATGGCCATATAAGCTTGGGAAATACCAAGGTAAACCAAATCTTTCTTGCAGGACTTCCCAAAGCCTTTAAATGTGAATGAGTCTTGGGAACCACCAAACAGGGCTGTGCTATGCCACACTTTGCAAGCTCCCTTGGCGTGGCGCACTCCGCGAGGGAGAGTGTGCGTGACTGTGGGTCTGGGGGCCAGGGCTACTTCCTGATGTCTAACAGGGGCCGGAAAGTACTTTGCTCAACAAGTCGTTGTTAAGGTAAGTGAAGTCACTGGCTCTTTCTCTTCCAATTCTCTTTACTTTCAGCTAGTTATGATTCCAGCTCCCGAGTGTCTAAGGGATGCAGGGCCAAGCAAGGGCTAACTTGGGACGACACTCAGAGAGCAGTTTGGGGCAAGAGGGTCTCCTTGCGGCTGCTGGAGGGGCTGCTGGAGCGATCTCGTAGGCTGGGGCGTGGCTCTCAGGTGTGGGGGCTGCTACAGGGGGAAGAGGCATTAGCAGCCCTGTCCCTTCCCTTCCCCCACGGTGGAGGCGCAGAGAGAAATGGAGGCAGGAGAACGGAAAGGGCTAGGCCGGGTCCACAGAGAGAGTGGGTGGAGAACGGAATCTGGAGCCAGCTGTCCCAGCGCCTGGGCCAGGGCTCTGCCCAGCCACACTCCTTGCCCTCTCCCCAGTCTACTGCTGCCCCTCAGTTTTCTGTAAGCCTCTGGCTGAGTCATATGCCTGACACCCAGTTTCTACCTCCGCTGCAGTGGCTGCCTTTCAGTCCTCTGTGGGGTCCCGTTGCAGGCTCACAATCTTGACACACCCTTCCAACGCCATTTTAAGAGACTCAGAACACGGTAGCAGTGCAGAAGCCCCTGCTGCCTGGCTGGGTCACTGTTGCATCGCTACTGGGGGACTGTTTACTGCCTTGCGAAGCAAAGGGGCAAAGTCCCGCATCACTTTTAAATAAGAGTCCTCCTCGGAGAGCACGGCCATAGCTGAGGGTGGCTAGTCACCAGCCTGTGCCCAGGAGGAGCCAGTGACTCTGGCGTGGCAGCCCAGGGGGAGGGCTGGGGCGGGGGATGCAGTGTCCAGAATTCCAGGCTGAGGATGGGGGGGGCTCCTGCTCCTGCTCTGTCGTGGCTGTGTCCAGCCCATCCCCGGCCTCGGGCTCTGCTGTGCAACGGGGAATTGAATCAGGCCTGAGAACTCGTCCAGCGCCAGGATTCAAAGGTTTAGCTTTTTAAGGCACTTGTAGGGAATTGATTGTAAGGAATTGAGGGCAGAACAGAAAGATGGGAACTCCTCGAGGGCAACAAACATGCTTCTTCTCTCTGGCCCCAGCACCTGACCCTGGATGGCGGGTGGAAGAACCCAACCCAGACAAGGGGGCCTGGCAGGGGTGGGGGGAGAGGGAGGAGCCAGGGCAGGAACCGGAAGGGAGGGGATGGGTGGGGGGGAAACAGAAGCCTGAGACCCCTCTGAAGAAAACCCAATGTCAAAACTTGAACAAGAAGGCCGGGCGCAGTGGCTCACGCCTGTAATCCTAGCACTCTGGGAGGCCGAGGCGGGCGGATTGCTCAAGGTCAGGAGTTCAAAACCAGCCTGAGCGAGACCCCGTCTCTACTATAAAAATAGAAAGAAATTAATTGGCCAACTAATATATATATATAAAAAATCAGCCGGGCATGGTGGCGCATGCCTGTAGTCCCAGCTACTCGGGAGGCTGAGGCAGTAGGATCCCTTGAGCCCAGGAGTTTGAGGTTGCTGTGAGCTAGGCTGACGCCACGGCACTCACTCTAGCCTAGGCAAGAAAGCGAGACTCTGTCTCAAAAAAAAAAAAAAAAAAAAAAAAAACTTGAACAAGAGCTTTATAAACAAGAAGTGAGCCTTTGACTTAGGAGGTGGAGGATCATTTAAATGGCCTGCAGGGGCTTGTTTCCAGAATGGGAGCTGAGAGAGCAGGTGGTCCCACACAGAGGACTGGAAGCTTCTCTTTTCAAACTCTGAAGACTCATCTGCAATGCAGATGAAGCATCTAAGAAACAGGAATGAAAACGGTCTAATTTTCACAAAGGCCAACTCAGAGGCGCACTTCCTGTCCAGCCCAGGGCGCCAGCATCTGTGTGTGGGGCAGCTGTCCCCAGCTGGGGGGGTTGGGGTGGGGGCCTGCACGGTCCTGCCAAGGTCAGAGGGATGTGCACACGTGCCTCCACGTGAACTCGCTGCACACGTACGCACACGCACACTTACTCAGATCTTCAGCACAGTCAGTTTGGATTTGGTCATTATGGAAGGTCCAGTCTCTGCCTAGATCTGGGTTCAAAAAATCCATTTACTCTGCATAGCTATTGAGCACCTACTAAGAGCAGGGAGCTGGGGATACCATGATGAATAAGAGGTAACCCCTAAAAGAACACACTGGCCAGTTGGGAAGACAGGTAAATAAGATAAAAACCTTAGAAAATGAAGCATTATGGTGACGTCTAGCACAGGCCTGGGAGTTCAGGGAAGGCTTCCTGGAAGAGGTGTGACCTTGGAGCTGTGCACTATTCAATATGGTAGCCACTGGCTACATTCACGTTAATTAAGAAATACAAAATTCAATTAGTCAGTCACACGAGCCACATTCCAAGGTGCTAGTGGCCGCCATATTGGATAGTGCAGAGACAGAGCATTTCCGCCTCACAGGACAATCTACTGGACGGCACTGAGGATGAACAGACCTCTCAGGTGAGGGCCCTGGAGAGGTTTGCCAAGTCCAGGCAGCAGCTTGTGCAAAGGACTTCACGGGAAGCGCAGCCTGCCCTGGGCTGCAATCCGAGCACAGGTGTGAGGAGGGAGCAGCGGAAAATGAAACTAGGGAGGAGGGAAGAGTTCGAAGGGTAGCCAAAGGCTCTGCGTGTATTGGCAAGGAGCTGGCTCTGGTCCTGAGCATTTTTGGAGCCTTTGGAAGGGTTTCAGCAGGGAGTGGCAAGGTCAAGTTTCCTGCCTGCCAGACAGACCAGAGGGGCAGAGCCGGGAGGACCAGACCCCACAGGGAAGGAGCAGCCACCAGCCTCCAGGTGAGAGCCAGGTGACAGGAGGGGCCTGACATGGGAGTTTAGCTGAGCGGACCTGGAGGTGAGCTGGCTGTGGGCGGGCACCAGAGAGGGGGCTTCTGGCTCCTGCTGGGTGGCTGGGCCATGTGAGAGGAGAGGGAGCCTGGGGGCGGGAGGGCGGAGGGGGAGGGGAGGGCTCAGCTGGGCTGTGCGCAGTGGAAGGGGAGAGGTGAGGGCACTCCGCCTCTGGGGAGAAGCGGGGCTGCAGCTGCAGAAAATGGATGGGTGCGAGTCCGCGGGGCGAGGTCGCAGGGCCGTCCTTGGCGGGACAGCACTGGAGCCCTGGGGAGCACAGGCGAGTTGGTGGCCAAGAGAGACAGAGGAGCGGGAGACCAGATGTCCTTGGAGGTGTCACACGCGTGGTCGTGGTTCTGTCCCTGGGTGTAGGAGCCGCAGCGCCCAATCCAGGCAGCGCTCCTGCAGGAGACAGGGCTGGGAGAGAAAGGGAATGGGAGTGGCTTTCATTACAGCAATGGGAGAGGCAAGAGGGCAGCTTGTATTTTTTAAAGATATCTGCAACAGCCTGCCCCGGCCCACGGGCCCTTCTACAGTGTGACCTGACCCGTCACCTGCTCCTGGAGCTGAAGGTCTGGGCAGCTCATGACCGCTCTGACCAATAGACTATGGCAGGAGTGACATTATGGGACTTCTGAGATTGGGTCATAAAATACACCTTGTCTGCTGAGACCCTCACCCTGGGAGCCCTAAGCCAGTGTGTGAGACGTGCCCCTAGCACCGAGGCCCCAGGCTACGAGGAAGCCCAGGCGGAGTAAACAGGCCCCGAGTCAACGCTCTGGTCAGCAGCCCCAGCCCGTGGTCAGCATCGACTGACCACCGCCAGACATGGGAGTACGTAAGCCTCTGGATGGTTCCAGAACCCAGGCATCGAGTCGCGCCGGCCACTGAGGCCCCAGACACCATGCGGCAGACGTAAGCCGCTCCTCTGTGCCCTGCCCAGGGCCCGGCCTGCAGAATCCCAGAACATACAAACTGATGGCTGTCTGTGGCCACTGCACTGTGGTGGTTTCCCACACACAGGCCAGGTCATGGGCGTGTGGCAGGGATGTGGGGTAACGGGCCCATGTATGGGCCTTCAAAGACCTGGCGGAGGGGACAGAGGAGGCTGAGCAGGTGAGCATGGCCAATGCTAGGCAAGCAGGAGTTGAGGGAGTTTGGGAGGGAGGCTTGAAAGCCGTAGTTCTGGCTGGAGGGGTCAACCAAGGGCAAGGTCGTGTAGATCCTGACAGTAGCAACACCAAGGCGGAGAAGGGCCTTGGAATCTTACTGTGTTATGTTTAGTTCCCAGCGCGTTCACTAACCGGCTCTCCCTGCACCTCAGTATGCTGATCTGTAAAACGGGGGTACGAAGCTCTCCCTGGCACCTAATATTAAATAAATGCAGGGTACATGTGACTTCCCTTTCTTTTATCACTTTTTTCTCCTTTATCTCTTGTTACCCTAACTAGGGCCCCTCACATGTGTGTGGACTTCACTGTTAATAAATATATTCAAGGACAAGGCATTTGTGCCATTTCATAGAGACAGGCTGGGAATGTCCCAAGGCCTCAGAGGACTGCAGTCTTCAGCTTGTACTTTTTCTGAATCTGCCTATTCTTCCCTAGATGGAAGGGACAGGGCAGGCTGGTGCCCCAGCAGGTGGAGGCATGGGTGTGACCGCTGGCCAGCGTTCAGCCCCAGCCCCGGCAACTACTTCAGCTCTGGAGTCCCAGAAAAACTGTTGCTGTGGGGAGCTTACAAATGGAGCTGGCCCAGCCCTCCTCCCCCAGGAATGCCTGCCTCCAAGCGCTGGGGTCAGAACAGCCTCCCAGAAGCTCTCACCAGGGCTCCTGGGGGCCTTGCTGCATGGGCCCCCCAGCCCTAAGCCCTGGATCTGATACCTGGCCCCAGCTCCCCTCCTCCGCCCTCCTCAGCATCTGGTTCCTCCTCCGAATGCAATGCTGTTGCCCCTAGCAACCGAGCTCCAGTCCAGATCTTGGTCCTCCTCCCTCCTCCTGTCCTTGTTTTCCTCCCTTCTCCTTCTGTTTCCTTATTCCCATCCTGCCTGCCCTCCCCCAGCCTGCAGAGATGGTGTCTGGGCCTGGAAGGCTTCCCCCAAACCCTGTGCCAGCTGGGCGACCCAGCCACAGCTCCTGGCCTTCTTGGGTTGCTCCCCAGGTGATCATCATAGTCAATACTCTCTCCTGCCCCCAGGGAGTAAGCACTGCAGTCTTGGGGACCCTAGGGATGTCCTGGGAAGACTTCCAGGCAGGGCTCTCAGGGCACCCTAAGCACAGAGCCAGCAGCTGTGGAGAAGAAAGGAGACTCAGGAGCCAAAGGGAATTTCCCCCAATCAACCATTTGAGGTGGTGAGCTCCCCAGAGCTGGAGATATGCAAGGAGAGAACTTTCCAGTGATGCTGCTGCTGGTGCTGGCATGGCACAGGGCAGTGAGGGGCCTTGCAAAGGTGGTCAGTGAGGGCTTGGCCCCTGTCTCCCAGCTGTCCCCTTAACTTACCTCATCTGCTTTTCCCCAAGCCCTGAATTCCCGGAACCTTTGGCAACACCCCTCCCTCACCCTGCCCTCCCAGAGGACCCTCATTTCTCAGCTGGGCCCTAGAGAGGGGGCAGCACTGATGAGGGTTCGCAGGCACAGCGACATCACCCACCCACTGGGCAAGCCCTGCTCAGCACAGCGGCCTCAGAGGAGACACACCGCCGCCCCAGAGCCCCACCCAGACTCACTCACACTCGTGGCGCCTTCTCAGACTGTCCCTGCCCTCCTGCCAGGCCGGGTCCAGCCGTGCCTCACTTGCTCCCGCGCGGCCCACCCTCACTGCTCTGTGCCCCTGCGCCGCTGCCCCGCCTGTCTGGAACCCTCTTTGCTGCCTTTCCCTCTGGTGCATCTCAGGGCCCACCTCCCTCAGGAAGCCTTCCCTGACTGCCAGGCGGTGCTCGGTGCCTCTGCTGGGCTCCCGCAGCCCCGTGCTTGCCTCCATCGCTCTCTCACCCCGCTGGTGGTCACCACCTGTCTGCACGTTTTTCTCCTGAGTGCACCATACGGTCTTTGGGGTGGGGATTCTGTGCCCCACGTTTGCCAGCAAATACTGAATGAAGACATCAGTCTGGCAGTGGCCCCAACTCTTTCTGGGCCTCTGCCCTTCTGTGATGCAATGGAGACAGTCAGTGGTCTTTGAGGGTCCTTGTGGCTGGTGAGAGTGACTGAGCCTGGGCTGTCAGCGAGACAGAGGACACGCTGGATCACCCTTGCCCTCCTGGCTCCCAGTAGCACCCCCAGGTTTCAGGAATGAGCGCTCAGCACCGGGCAGGTCCCGCCCAACTCCTCTAAGGCCTCAGTCTCAGCTGTCAAATGGGAGAATAATCGCTGCCACCTGCCTCTGAGCTGCAGGGAGGCGGTGGTGATGGCTGCCAGACCAGGCGTCTCCTTCAGCAGCAGCCAGGACCCAGGTTTCCAAAGGGGACAGCTCTGGCTCGGCCACACCAGCGCCCGGACGGCCCAGCCCTAAGCTCAGGGGTCCCTGGGGCTCTGCTGCCCTCCAGTGGCCAGAAGCCCCTGGGCACGTAGAGCCAGCAAGCTTCTGGCTGGTTCCACTGGCATCTGCCCCAACACAGGAGCGACGGAGGGAGGGGCGTTGCCTGGACCAGAACACTTCCAAGCCAGGGCAGGGCGTGTCCTCTTGCAGGAGACCAGCCGAGAGGAAGCTGCTCCCCACCTGCCCACCCTGTCACCTAGGGACACCCCTGTGCGGCGGGCCCCGCCCTGCCTGCCACGCACAATGCTGGCCTGGACTGGGCCTCTGAGAAGTGTCCCTGTGCCTGCCCACGGGTCACCCCGATCCCTGGCCGGTATTTGGGGCTGGGAGGGGCGGCTTAACCCCCTTCCTCCTTGATTAATCAAATACTTAAAGTAATGGCTGGGGTCATGATTGATGGACAGAGCATAGCTAATTACCCTGGAGATTAAAATGACTGCTTCTGTTTAAAAGGGCTGCAAATGAGTTAATTATTTCCTTTGCTCACCTCTCTAACCTCGTTACACTTCTAAATGAATAGCAATATTGATCTTGGAACTGATTTTGGTGTTACACCGCTGAGCGGGTTTAATTAGGGTTTGAACCGCTGCAGTGCCTCCTTCTCCACCTGACCGGGAGGGAAATCAGCCCCCGGCTTTACTGCCATTGCACAGCGGCTCCTCCACCCGCCACCTCCAGCCCCGCCCTGGCCCCAGCTCTGCGCGTCCAGCAGCACGGCTGACCCTTGCTCCCGCCTCTCAGGACGACTGGCAGGAAGGCCGCTGGGGCCAGCTAGTTGAGCCCCTGCTGACCAAGGGAGGCTCGGATGTGACAGGGCAGAGCCCAGCACCACCTGACCAGGTGGGAGCGGGTCTGGGACCGCATACCTGCACAGCCCCAGCCCTGGACCTTGATGGCTCCCTGGACGAATAGACACTCCTCTCTGCCCCTCACTCACTTGCCCAGCGAGCCACACCGCCTCAGGCTCTCTCCTGCTCTCTCCTGCTCTCCTCTCCTTCTTAGGTTGCGTGGAGCCAAGGCTACCAGTCTAGATGAAGGAGGGACACGGGGAAGCGGGGAGCAGGAGGCCAGCACCCCTGCCACGGACCTGCTCCTGGCACGCAGGTGACCTGGTGCTAGTCCAGCCTTTCTCTGGGCTTCTCTCCTCTGAACTTGACAATCTGTCTTTCGTCATCCCCTCCTACCCCACCGGCATGGGTCTGCAGGGCAAGTGGGGCAGAGAGGTAAGGCAAGAGCAGGCGGGACAGGCACTGTCTGCTCCTCTCTCGGCCCTGGCTCCCTCTGCCAGCACCAGCCTGTCCCAGTCCCACTGCTGGGGAGCTGTCTGATTCACTGTTGCTCTCCCCCACTTCCTGCCTCTCCTCTGTCGTCTGTATTTGATGTCCCCCCAGCAGACAATTCTCACTGAGGTCACCCACAACTTCCGAGTTGCCAAACGAAGTGAGCACTAAAGGCCAGGGGATCCGTGGCACAGACCTGCCTGGAGACCACAGGTGCTTCTTTTGGTTTCCTCCTCCCTCTCAGGACACGGCGTCTCCCTCCTGTCCCCAAAGTGCGTCAGGGTTGGCCTTAGCCCTTCTCCCTTCCTCTCGCTGCACACACCCTCTCCTGCGCACCCACCTCTCTCATGGTTGCAAAGCCATCTGTCCCACATTGCTGTCCTAGCCCCATCTCTGCCCTGAGCTCCGTGTAGGTCCAGCCAGGGAGTGACACGTCAGATTCACACTATAGAAGGCAACTGTGACTGCAGTTTGGAGAATGGCAGGAGAGGGCCGTGGTGGAGACAAGGGAACCTGGGGGGTGGCTGTTTTCAGTCTAGGCAGGAAAATATTCAGGCCAGAGGCAGAAGGGCTGTGGTGGAGGGGGCAAACCATTGGGTGAA